TAAAATTAAAAAAAAAATAAAAATAGCAGTTTTATTTCTAAAGTAGTGTAATACTTGTGTTAAAAAATGCAGTTTGACTTAGCATGATTGAAAGATGTGCTGAAGCAGCCAACTTTTTACACTTGAAGTCTACAACAATGGTTTTCAGCCAGGCTGGTGTATCTGTACGTTGTATAAAACTCCTGCTTATGTAAGGTCTCCCTTTTAGACATGAAGAAAATAAGATTGCAACATTTTGCCTAAGACTGAATGGCAGGTCAGGAAAGATTTCAGGATTTGGCTCATCAAATGAATAATTTTAAATTATACGCTACCAAGTTTACTGCTTATGGAATTGATACCAACATATAATGCACATTAGCTTTTGGTTTGAATCTATAACATGCTCTTTAGTTGACAATGATAATAGATTTAACATAAAGAAAAATGTAGGTCTTACTTAATAGATAGGTATCCCATGTTTGATTTTTGGTGTAAAAGTGAAAAAGTGGTAAATATTGCAGTAGCAGATTCACAGAAGCTATTATATGAAATGTGGTTTTGAATTGGGAAAGAATATATAAAAGAAGCAAAGGGTTAAAGATGTGTACCAGAAAGATGTGTGTTGGGTTATGTAATTTCCAACTTCGCGAACTGTGACCTTATTCTTTCAGGAGGAAATATTGGGAAACAAACAAACTAACCAACCAGTCAAATTGGAAATTTTTTTTAATGCCATTTAGAGAAAAAGAAATACGGTGCAATCAATCATCTGAGTTGCACCCAATGAGACATCCATATGACAGATTCTCTCAATGGAAAGTGAGTTATCCCCCAAAATCCTAAATTAGGATTTCCACAGTATCCTCATTGAATTCCACAGCTACTATATGCCTTATTCCCTCAGGCACATTTTAAAGAAATTCCTGTCTTGGATGGAATCTGTAATACATGTAGTTTTCAGCTTCAGAATGTCAAAACCAACGAGAGTTACCTAAGGAAAACAAAAACAACAACAACAACAAAAAGATAAAAAGCAAGAGATGAAAGGAAAGAGAGATTAATATAAAAAGTAGTGAATATGAATAGCTTTGATAAACAGTGAGAAAGTAGATAGTGGGAGGGGATATACTTTCTGGTATAGCCAATTCTGTCCCACTGATGTTCCTGCCATCTAAGTGGGAATAGAATAAATACATACTGAATCACATGAAATGACTGTAAGTAGATAACTAGAGTTGGAAAGAGAAAACCTAAGAATAACAAATTTAAATATGGAAAGATGACAATGCAAAATGAGAGAGGAAGGACTGCAATGACTAGGATCTTCAATGAAGGTCTCATCTTCTTTGGCAGCACCTCAGCTTCTGCTCGTCACAGAAATAGATGGGACCTGTAAGCTGAGAGTCAGATCTTGAACTGGATAGAGGATTTTAGCTCTGCAATGATCTTGCTGCTCCTTCCACCCATTCCGTCTGATTTTCTGAAACAGCAACATTTGTTAGTGTACCCTCATGTACCTGCCTCTCAATTCTTGGTAGGGTTCTGTTTCCTGTGGCTAAAAATAGATCTAAAATAGATCACACGTGGCCTTCCTAACACATGCTTTGATCCTGTTTATAATATTGATACTGTACTGGCTGTGTCAAAGCCATGCAGCTCCCCAGACATGGATATGCCTTTCAGCACCCCTGTGGTTGTGTCCACCAACTACACCATTTCCTAAGTGAACTTGGAGTCCATGATGTATTGTATCCCATTCCGTGCTGACTGCTGTATTGGGTTTAAATGGCAAGGGTTTGCTAGCAGGGAGCAACCTCTGTGAGAATAGCTCAGAAGCTTCCCATGTTAGAGAAAAGCCAGTTGCAGCTGGCTCCAGAAGGGACCTGCTGCTGGCCAGAGCCAAGCCAATGAGTGATATCAGTTGTACCTCTGGGAAACAAGATTTAAGAAAGGAAACAAACAAACAAAAAGACAGACAAACCAAAAAATAAAAAATGCTGCACAACAGCAACTTGGAGAGCAAGGAGTGAGAAGCAGCCCTGCAGACCCCAAGGTCAGTGCAGCAGGAGGGCAGGAGGTGCTCCAAACACGCAGCAGAATCTCCCCTGCAGCCTGTGGAGAGGCCCTTGGTGGAGCAGTCTGTCCCCCTGCAGCCCATGGGTCCCACATGGAGAAGATCTCTATGCTGTAGCCCGTGGAGGAGCCCACGTGGAGCAGGTGGATGTGGCCTGGAGGAGGCCCATGTAGAGCCCCTGCAGGAGCAGGCCCCAGGTCGGAGCTGCAGCCTGTGGAGAGGAGCCCATGCAGGAGCAGGGGGGTCTAGGGGGAGCTGCCACCTGTGGGGAACAGCTAAATTTTGGGAAACATTCTGTACAACAAGATTTTCAGGAAATTCTAAAATTCTACTGTTGTCCAAACGCTGAGATTCACCATATTTCCTTTGAAGGAAGGAAGTTATACACATAAAGATGTTATATCTAGGCTGCATATATATGTATTTCCTCCTTATTCCTTCATTTCCTCACTCCATTAGCACTGACTGGCATGGAAAATGCTTCTGGATGTCATGTGTTCTGGTTGCACAGATGCTCAGCCTTTCATTCAGGTCAGGGTTGCATTTGCCCCTGCACAAAACCGTGTATTACAGATGATGTCAGAATAATGAGCCTGAAAGAAACAAGATCATTTCACTGTCTTTTTAAATGCATAGATGTTCCCGAGTCTGCAATTTCATGCATCGTTTCAGATTTCTCAAACACAGATTACCTGGTCCCTTCCCTCACTTGAGAGCATTATTGTCTTTAAGCTTCATTCTACCTCTTTTGTGGTATTTTCCATTTTCATACTCTTATTCTTTCTTTCTTGTCCTACAAGCAATATTTATATATATATATATATATTTTTAGCAATAACAATAATAATATATATATTTTTTTTTCTAGAAGCAATTGAATGAGGCACATTTTCATTTCATTTTAGTCATCATCTAGTTCTCCTTTAAACTTAATCTTACTTTTGATGTTGAGTACCCTCTTTTCCTGTTCTCTTATCTTTTTGATTAGGAACACATCTGATATTTTTTTGTTTTACTGTCATCCTTGATTTCTAAGTTAGGATAACATTAGCTTTCTGATTCTTAAACAGAGAAAATTTCCAAGTATATTTTTCCTCCACTTCTGTTAGTCTCTCTGTTAAATAATTTGAAAAAGGTATTGAGGATAAGCAATGACATCCAATCTCCATTACCAGTTCCACACTACAATCCTGTTTTTTCTCTTTTTTCCTCCTTTAGCTTCCTTTAGCAATTGCATGTTTCTTCAAACAAATGAGGCATTTTACAGGAACACCATGCTACATCACCTATCCATTTTTAGCTGAAAACATTCAATTGAAATTGTGAAAAACTCAGTTATGTTGCTCCTTGAATGAACATGCTTTTTTTTTTTTTTTTTTTTTTTTTTTTTTTTTCTGTTTACTCATTGTTCTCATGAAGATTGGAAGGCACGCAATGGAAGATGAAATAGAATCCTAGTGTATGCTATGAAACCTAACCATCTAAGTAAACTGACTGCAAGTCATAACATTGTCATAGGGAAAAAAAAAAAAAAAGCTTACTGCTATTTAGACACATTACATAATCTTGATGAATGTTTACATCATTACCTACCATGCATACTCATGTATACATTCTCTGAAGAGGCCATAACATAGGCAGATCCTAACAATGCTTCATGAGAAAGGAAACTAATACATTTTAATGTTCAATTTTATAAACCATTTGAACGTGGAAAATTGATCACCATCATTAAAAATACTGATTAACTAATAGTTCTTTTAACTTTTAATTTTAATTTTTAATTTGACAAAACTTCTAATTATGAATTTTAGCAAGTAGTGCTAATACAGTATTTCTAGTTATCCTGAAACTGTTTGTTAACTCCAGTCAAATGTGTTGTAAAATTTCTGGTAGAAAATTGATTATTGTACGTAACGTTACAGCAATCATATTCTTTGACATCAGACCTAGATTTATCTTAGCTGTAGAAGATCCAAGTTTCACCTATTTGTTTGCAGAGAATGAGACATCTCACAGTTGCCATGAAAGCCCTCTTGCTTTTTTTGAAGATATTACAAAGCTTAAAATACTGTACATACTGATTCCAAATGTAAAGCAATAAAGTAATAACATCTATTTCCTTTGGTAAGCAGCCCTGCAGAGGCTATCAAACTATTGATTTTGAGTTTGTTTTTTATTAATGTAGTTTGCGATGAACGTGTTTTATGGAGTGTAGTGGGAAAGATAATGCTTGGTAAGATTGTATCAGCAATTACCAAGCATTGATCAAATTAAGCACCTCTGCACATTTTAAAAGTCAAAACCATTCAGAAGTGACAAGATTTTAAGGATCTTCTGTTAATTATCTGAAGAGAATTGTAGAATTATTGGATAATTCAGGTTTGAAGGGCCCTCAGGAGGTCATTTATAAAGCAAGATGCCTTTAGTTTTGATATCAAATTCTAGGTGGAGCTATCTGAAAATGGAGGAAATTTTATTTATAAATCCTGTTGGAATTGTGGAACAACTATCTTTCCCATTTTATTCTCAATTTGCTCCTTTCATTATCTCAACTTCCAACTTTTCCTAAAAGTAAATTAGAGCATCCTTCACCAGACTTTCTTACAGAATATAAACTGTTATTCTTCTCCCAAAGATACTATTATTGCATCCTCTAATTACACCTAGTAATACAGGAACACTATTATTTATTGTGTAAAATAAAGGAAAAATTGTGATTCTGCTCAAGGTGAAACAGCAAATCCTATTTATCTTCTGAAGTTGATTTATTTCTTAAGATTTTCTGACTTTTATACACCATTATAACATTTTCTAGTTGGTTGGAAATGATCTCCTTCTCTTTGCCTATACATGGCCTCTGTGCACAGTAAACAGAAGCATCCTGCACCTTTTCTTTCAATGAATGCAGCTCAATAGCTTGAAGTATATTATCTTGAGATAACTCTTCTTTAAATGTTCATATTTTAATCAAACTCTGTTGATAATGTTTTCTGAAGTTACAGGAGTGCTGTATGTAAATCAGGATAGAAAACATAAACATTCATGTTCTGATAATCCTAACTATTTAACTTAGGCTGTCAGACTACGGTGCAAGTATATAAGTGACATTACAAGTGACAAGTGACATTGGAGCTGGATCTTGAGACTTGCTGCTTCCCAGTAAAAAACTTGATGCAGGTGAAACCTGAACCAACCTGAAAGCAAGTAAAGAATGGAAGATCAACAAGCTAGACAGAAGTACTCTCTCTGTTACACAATGAAAAGAATGCTGTTATCTCTGAAATGACACTCAAGATAAATAGCTTTGATGATAAGGCAAGACATATTTATTTCCATTTATACAATAACTGCCCAGATACTCTTGCTGAGAACCCATTTCCCCCTCTCCATCTGATGTATGAGCACGCACAGTCTCAGCAAACTGCATCATTTTTTGCCTCATGCTCCATATTGTTATGCAGAATAGCCAAGGATATTCTGCTGCTAATGAAGAGACATTTTTACTGGAAGATTTGTGGTTATAGCTTGCAGGCAAGAAAACAACATTAAGAGTAAAGAGTGTCATTTAAATCTTAAGGGTTATGTAGGACTCCTAAAGTAAAATTACTTTAAAGGGCAGACTTTTTTCATTATGAAAATGTAACTTGAAGATATTTTTTCCAAAGTAATTGAATGCTTATTTCTGTCCTCTTTCCCAAACCATTTCTGTTTACTTCATAAGGATCTACAAAAATTTTTTTTTTTTTTTTTTTTTTTTTTTTTTTGCAATAGAGTAAAAACTAAACCCTGTAGCATATAAAGCCTGGGGTCCTTTTCCTTGATCAAAACTTCAAAAAAAAATAATTTCATTAAAGCCTTCCGATCTCCCTTTAACTTTACCAAAGATGATTTCCACACTGAGGTGCAACAGGATGCTTTTCAGTGAGCTGGGGATGAACGCTGCACTGAGGAGAGGAGGAGAAATGGGATCTTTTCTCTTGGCAGGATCTGTGGGCTGCCACTCAGCAAGCTGGGATGTGTGGCTGGTAGTCAGCTAGGCAAGCATGACCTCCATTATTTCCATAGGCTTGATGTGATCACAGGTGCTACTAATCCTCCACAGCCCTTGTTTTTTTTTTTTTCTGCTGCCTTCTGGCAGAAGAGGTCTTCAGGTTCTGCCATCTTCTGTTTAAGAAACAAGGTATGAAAAAAGCCTGTCCACATTTTGAAGCCGTCTCAGCTACTGAAGCAGGAGGGCACTTCACGTACCACTTGCAGTCTAAGCAGCATGGTGGTTTTACTTTCTCATGTAACATCCAAAATCTGCAAGACTGTAAGCAATGTCTTTTGTCAACCCTTTTAAACAGACATGTTTTGTGAGTCCTGTGGTTGCCCAGGACACATGCACAGCACACCTGATGCCCATGCATGAGGAAGGAGGCTGTGTGTGGCCTGGTGCTGGCTGCAGACATTTCTTCTTGACCTGTGTTGGGCCAGTTAGTGTTGCTGGGGCAAGTGGCAGCTGTGGGAGCAGGAGAAATGTGAGGGACATGGGGAGATGCCAGTGTGGGGCACAGGGATGGAGACCCGATACTGGCAGGAGGGAAGCTGCTCTGAGGGACTAAGGCCTGTGGGCAACAGGCTCAGTCTCCTGAGAGACTGGGGCCATAGTGGGACCTGCGTGGGGGGACAGAGAAAGATGAATAGGAAGCATGGAGAAACAGATGTGAGTAGTACTTGAGAAGTCACCAGGCATTACATGGAGCTTTTATGAAATAATGACTGGAAGGCAAACATTTTGCCAGTGCTGGCTGTGTAATATATCCTTGAGAACATGTAAAGCATAAAGTATCCATTTGTTCGTAAAATCTCATCTCCCTCCCTACCAATGGTTTTTGCCTTCAAACAAAAAAAAAGTGCAGTGGACTTCAGGCATTGACATTCCTGCCACTTGCAGAGAAATATTTAGTGCCTTGCTTAAAGATAAAAATAAAATTATTGCAAATCCTGCCCTGGAGTTGTTTTGTGGTTTAACCGGGCAGGCAGCTAAACACAACACAGATATTTGCTCCCCTTCCCCTCCCCTCCTCAGCAGTGTGAGAGGGGAGAGAATCAGGATTCAGAACACCAACAAAAAAGTTAAAACTCATGGGTTGAGATAAAGACAGTTTAATAGTACCTTAAAGGAAGGGAAAATAATAATTATTATAAAGAAATATACAATACAAGTGATGCACAATGCAGTTGCTCACTACCCACTGACTGATTCTTATCCTATCCTCCAGCAGTGGCCACATACCCTGGCCAACTCCCTCCCTCCCCATTTTATTTTTCAGACTGATTTCTTATGGTACAGACTATCCCTTTGGCCAGTTTGGGTCAGCTGTCCTTTTTGTGTTCTCTCGAGTTTCTGGTGCACCCCCAGCCTCCTCGCTGGCAGGACAGTATGAGAAGCTGAAAAGTCTTTTGAGGACAATTTGAATTTCTTACCCCACTTTTCTGTGGAAAGGAATAAAGAATTCCTTCGTAAACATAGTGGATCATCTCCTAAGGGAGGTGCATACTTATGTTTCTAAGTAAGTGGTACTCCTTGAATTAAACCAAGTACATCACCAATGCGTTGGAATATGGTGTTCGGTAGAGTATATTGAAATTTTCTTACAACCACCTTACATAACAAAACAGATATGTTTAAATGTTTGGGCTGAAGTGCCTCCTCAGCTGTTACCTTATTAATGTTTAGCAGCTAGTTATATGAAGAAACAAAGGACCGTGCAAAGCAATAACATTTTTTTTTTCCCACTCTTTCTAATGGATTGTGCTATTAATTATTATGAATTAGCCATTTGAAACTGTAGATCTTTGAGGCAGGAATGTATTCTTCCTTCTGCTTTCTCCATCCTAACTACGTATCCATCTTCAAGTGAAGAACTGGGCAGCAAAAGGTTCAAATAATTTCTTGTGCCATTTGCTTGATGTGAATGAAGCAAGACATTCAACAGAGGTTGAACTATCTAACAAACCACTTCATAAAATAATATTTGCTATATTATTGGTTAGAATGAGCTAATTATCCTAACCTGAATACTGACTAGCTAATATACTGCAAATTCTCTGTTGTGACTGCATTCCTCTCTACAGCCTTGCTGTGTATCTGTCTTGTTTTCCTTCAGCACCTCTTAAACCAATGTAATCTAAAATCCTTTTCTGATCATACTTGAATTCTGCAAGGTACAGAAATGATAAACTGCATGCAAACACTTCTGTTACAGGGAGGGCTGGGAACTTGCTGTTCACTGGGAAGGGACAATTGCATGCTGGCCACAGGAGCTCTCCAGCAAAGCTGGATTTTTATGGAGGTTATCCTCCATTAGCTGTGACATAGTCTTTCCAGTGGATTACAGTGATTACCAATGACAAAACACTTTCCTGTGGATTTGTGGAGCTTGGCCAGAGAGGATAAATAACTTGAGTTCAGTTCCAAGGCAGCAATATAGGAAAAAATAATCACACTTTATTACTAGGTTTAAAGGGAGAAAAAATAATACTAGTATTGTCTCACCCTTGTGCAGCTGAAGTAAAACAGATATTCAAATCTATTCTTTATATGAAAATACAGAATATGATAATATTTGGCTTTGATTCAGCCTAATAGCACAAACCTTTAATGCTCATAATGGAGAAATAAATATAAAAGCATCAAGAAATAAAAATAAGATGAATTTTAGATTTTTAGATGATTTTAAGATGAGCAGCAGTGTGCTCAGGTGGCCAAGGCCAACAGCATCCTGGCTTGTATAAGAAGCAGTGTGGCCAGCAGGTCTAGGGAAGTGATTGTCCCCCTGTACGCGGCTCTGGTGAGGCTGCACTGTGTTCAGTTTTGGCCCCCATGCTACAAGAAGAACATCGAGGTACTTGAGCGAGTCCAGAGAAGGGCAACGAAGCTGGTGAGGGGCCTGGAGAACAAGTCCTATGAGGAGCGGCTGAGGAAGCTGGGTTTGTTCAGCCTGGGGAAGAGAAGGCTCAGGGGCGACCTTATCGCTCTCTATAGGTACCTTAAAGGAGGCTATAGCGATGTGGGGAGTTGGTCTATTCCCATGTGCCTGGTGACAGGACAAGGGGGAACGGGCTAAAGTTGTGCCAGGGGAGTTTTACGTTGGATATCAGGAAGAACTTCTTTACCGAGAGGGTTGTTAGGCATTGGAATGGGCTGCCCAGGGAAGTGGTGAAGTCACCATCCCTGGAAGTCTTTAAAAGACTTTTAGATGTTGAACTTAGTGATATGGTTTAGTGGAGGACTTGTTAATGTTAGGTCAGAGGTTGAACTCAATGATCTTGAGGCCTCTTCCAACCTAGACAATTCTGTGATTCTGTGATTTTATCAAGAAGAATGAGTATTCAGTGAATTTCATGCAGCACAGACAACTGAGATGTCCTATACCTTGCAAAGCAAATTGGTAAAGCCTTTATCCATCTCCCTGTAAATAACAGCTATTAGCTATTAAATTGTAAAAGGTGGACAAAAGGTGTATTGTGAATGTTATTTGTTCTCTTTCTTCAGTGTATATTAATGTACACTTGTTCCCTTTCTTCACTGTGTATGAATGTACACATATAACAATTGATATAAGCGATGGATATGAGAATATCTAATTTACTGCATATAGTCTGGGCAATTGCACATATTCTGTCTATTGTCTAGATCTGTTTTGTGGTCATGCTCATTTGCTCTTATAAGTTTTTTATTGAAATAACAAAGAAACAAGTCTTATGAAACTGCTATGTCTTCCAAACTTCAGAAGCAATAAATCTCATTCTGTTCTTCTTACTGGTCCTTTTTTTTTTTTTTTTTTTTTTGTCATAGAAGAAAAAAAAAGAAGGAAAGAACAACCCAGTGACATTAATATTTGTTGAGCTTTAGAGTGATCTGGGTAAGTTATAAAGCTGTAAGTGATAAAAGTATTTTAAGAAATGAATTGTCTTTTGCAAGTTCATTAAACAGGCAAACAAATTTCAGAGGTTAAAATCGCTAAAATTATACTGATATAGAAAAGACAAACTCTTGACATCAGCCCCAATTTCATTTACATTTGCAAAATATATTGTCTTTTAAAACCATGATTCAGTGAGTAGCTTATAATACAAATTGCTAGGTGTTGGCTACTTCTATTATTTTTAATAGTGTTGACTTTATGTTATCAAATGTATTTCATTCCATATACTTTATGGAATTATACTTTATACTATATATTCCATATACTCTAAAAGTGCTTTTCCTGCTTTGAAAAAAATAAATAAATAAACATCATATTATAGATATCCTTTGGATATTTTTTTTTCCATACTTGTCTGCTTTCTTTTATTCCATTCTCAAGATAGATTTTTGCTTTGTGTTTTAATCATGAGGGCCTAAAGTATAGCATACAATAAAAAATAGACTAGTTTGCTGAGAATCCATAGACAATCTATCCCATGGCAATACTCTATAAAATAATTGCCCTGTGGGTTCACCACTGGAGTATACTGAAGCTATACAAAATAATGAATCTCCTTTAGTGCTTTAGAGGAAAATAATCAAGATCCGGGACTGAATTAATGCTACAGTCTTAATCATCTCATATCCACCATAAGGTAATCTTGTTTCAGTTATGTATCCAGCTGGAAATGGCTTTAAAGCTAGATTGCTCTTCTGGTCTTTCTTGTCCAAGTATTGGAACAGAAATGTCTTGACAGCATTATTAATTTTAGCATTACTAACATTAAAATGCAGACTGCATTACTAACATTAAAATGCATGCCACATAGAATGCTACCTTTTGTTGACTTAAGTTTTGAAGCAACTATGCAATGCATTTCTTAATTTTTGCAAGGCCAAGAATTAATTTCTATACTTAATGAGAATGTAATGTAATGAGAAATTTTCCAGGATATCTTGCAGATCTTAATGTTAATGAATAAAGGGCATGAATAGAGAGGGGTGTCAGTGCTCAAATGTCCAAAGATGTTTCTCTAAAAAAATTCTATACATACTAATCCATGCAAAAACAAAAAGTGCAATAATTAATTACTAATAAGTTGATTATTGCACTTTCCTGTAATCTGACTTAAAGTATTTTACTTTTGTAATTCAATCAAGACTCTGCTACTCAGAGCAAACCGACTTACCTATTTTTTCCATTATGCTTAATGTCTTTGCAGTAGCTGCACATGATTTGTTTTATAAACTTCCAAAAGTTGTTGTTTTTTTTTCCTAGCCTTTGAAACCTTGTAGCACATCCTTGATAGTGATGCCTTTCTGCTGTTGTTTTTTTGTTTGCTGCTTAAGAATTAAAGTCTCTTTGTCTTCATTTGCATTTTATTTTTTTTTATTTCTATTTTTTATTTTTTTTTTTTATTTTTTGGAAATGGCTTGCAAAGTCTGCTCAACTGACATATCTAATTGTGTTATGTTTTTGAGTTTGTCAAAACTCAGAAGTCAAGGTCACTCCACAATCATGAAGCTTAACCATTAAGTTTTTCAGTTTTACGAACATATTTCTCCTACATTTTCTACATAGAACACTTCTGTCATTCACTGTGCAAGTTGCTTGGCCTCATCTTTTGAGCAATAATGAAATTTCTTCATGGACATTTTAATTTTCTTTTGGCTCTCTGAACCTCTGAAATTCTGTCAATAGCTTTTCTTTGTTCAGAATTACATACAATGAAAAAAAGTTATGTACTTCACAAACAATTCCTTTATTTGTGCAGAATTTTGTATGTTGGGCAAATCCCATCCTTAATAAAAGCACGTGCTAAGTGAGGCCATCTCTGTCTTGTTAGTGAATGTGTACATTTTGGAAGCTTAGGTTAAAAGGTTTCCAAAGTCTTAGCATTATATGCCTATTCTGTGAATTCAAGCATGACTGTGTTGGGAGTGCCTGCCTTTTTGAAAACTGGGCTGTAAGGCCCAGTCTTAGATCTTAGTCTTAGATCTTCAGAAAACAAACAAATACTGACTTCTTTGAGTGACTGGCTTCTAATCTGAGGTGACTGCAACACAGTGTGAATGTACGTAAGCTAGTTTTCAGGGAGCTAATCCATCTCTGGGTAGCAGTCTATAGCAGCAGCAGGAAGTGCAGGTTGGCATCATTATACTGTTGAGACTGGGGCCAAATACTTGACTTTTGGAAAACTGAGAAAAGACTAACAGTCTGAATTGGAAAAGAGGAAGCTGCATGCTTAATAAGCATGTTTCCATAACATTTACTGATTGAGTAAGAAAATCACACAGCTCACAACTGCTTGGATCTGGGAAGCATTGGTTTCGCAGAGAGTTGGAGATGGGGCTGGGGTTTGGATGAATAATCTTTTTGAATGAATTTTCTCTCTTCCCCATTCCCATCAGAGACTACTAAGCTTTTCCTCTTCACTTAGTCCTGACTGATACTAATTAACTTATTTCAACTCTGTTCCAACCAGCCCTCATCTTTATTGCAGAAAGGGAATTGACCGTTTCTGGGTAATTTTACCATTTTCTTCTGTAGCCGTGTCTCCTCTTCCCAAGACGAAACTCTGCAGAATTTTTGTTTTGTTTTGTGAAGAATTGAAATGACACCTTTTAACCAATTTTGAAACTTTTTTCTTTTTTTTTTTTTTTTTAGTCAGTGCAAAAACTAATCCACTTTCATAAAAGTATTTTCACTTTTTCAATCATTTCATCACATTTCATCATTTACTTTCTCTACAGTAGTTTGCTGAGAAAATGCTGACAAACTTCAATTAACTGAACTCAGAACCTTATCAAGTGTGATGCAATCTGAAAGGGTGGCAGAACGATCAGCTACTCATATGGCCACAGAATAAGGCCTATTGATTTGGAGGTGCTGACTGCAGTGCAGCATAAATACACTCAGGTTAGCTGTCAACCACCTAACTCACATGCAGGTAGCAGTCTAGCTATAGGATGGGAGACCTCAAATCAGGGTCAATGCACCTGTATGACAGCCTTAGCTGACTGAGTGCTGGCAAGCAGAGCAAAGTCTGAGGAATCATCTTACTTTCCAGCCCAGTTCAGTAAGTGACATGTCACAGGGAATGATCACTTCTGCATATATAATTTGGCAACCTGGCAGACGTGTATTTAATTCTAAAGAAAATAATTAATCACTTGTTAAGTCAATCATAATCATGTTTTTTCTTTAGTTGTATACAAAAATAAAGTAGAAGCTTATATTACAAAACCAGTAGAAATGAGGCTGAAAAAATGAGGGTTTGATGTAGACTTTTCCCCATTTAAGGTAACTTTTAAAATACCTGTGGATTACTCTGGTCATGCTTTTAAAAATTTTCAGAACTCCTTAAGTGTAGAAGCCATAAGTGTTCATACTGCTTCCTAAGACGTTTCCTTTTTATTTGTGCAATTAGACTGAAAAAAATAATAAGTGGTAGGTATTTTTACTGTGACCATATGCATATATAAGCTAGAAAAATGGTGGGGAAAAAAATTTGAAAAATATATTTTTTATTTGTATTTTATTGATAATTGGAGATATATTTAAACAAACAAACAACAAATAAACAACAAAACAAAACAGAAGGACATGGCTTGAGGTTTTCTAACCCTCCAGGTTAGAAACTGCGTCCAAATTTCTAAATTTTATTCTCACTTCAAAAATGACAAGTGGTTTTTGGATTTATCAGGTCTTATCTATCATATAGTTATAAAAGACTTCTTGACTTTTTTTTTTTTTTTTTTTTTTTTTTTTTTCCCCCTGCTCTTTTCTGCTCTTCCTTACTAATTTTCTTCTTTCTCTCCCCTTACTTTCTTCTCTTCAGCTGGTACTTCTCTGGTATTAGGGCCATTCATATGGTCTCTAGACAAACATAACCTTTGCAGAGGAGAAATATGTCAGAAGCTTTAAGAAGTAGCTGTGGCTACTAATATACTTCAGCTGTTCTCAATTATTGTGTGACTACCCTGGCTGCTATTAATGGCAGGACTCTGTATATGTGTTTGTCTAAGTATGGGTAGCCTTCAGGCTACAGTTAAAAGAAGAACAAGAGATTTCTAATCCTTCTGTGTATGCACAGAAACTGGTTCCGTCCATATTATACTTTAGGCAACCAACCTAAAATTCTTCATGTATATTGATAACTATAGCCTGTCATCTGAAAGTATAGAATAATTTTTCCATTCTTCACACACTAGAAACGTTTGTCTCTGTAAATCCTAGGATGTATTAATTCGCAAATTAAATTGTCAAAATTAGGTCCAAATTCTTCTCAGTTGAATTTTAACTTCATTCTTTATCTGTAACATAAATAAATAGTTTTGTTAAAATATTTAAATGGCTTCTTGCCTTATTATATTCATATAATATAATTTCCAGGATATCTGAACACTTTTTAGTATTAAATAACAGTTATCAGCTTTCTTCCAGGGATAACAATCACTCTGCCTAATGTGTATTCTCCTCTGTTATTACTAATATACAGAAATATATATTTGAAAGTTACATAAATGAAAAGACCTTGTTTTCTGGAACAATTAATGACCTAATATTATAAAGGACCTTAAAGAAAGCTTGTTCTTTAGCTTGGAGGAGAGCTTTAATCTTATTGTAGAGAGTTTCATTGTGTCCACAGATATATTCTTCAGGTTATGATCTTCAACCTACATCTTTAGGCAAGTTTTCATATATTATCAAACACTGCAGAGATAACAACCATGGACCAAATCTAATCTCTCTAAGTTATTTAAGCAATTTGAGATGCAGATAGGCATTTTTAAAAATTTTCTGGAGGACTGAGTGGACTAGTCCTGTAATCCATTGTAATCAGTGGGAAATACATGTACACATTGGATCAACTCTGGAACCTCTGAGAAAATGCTTATTTGGATCTATCCCTGCTAATGCCTAAATAAATTTAAAAATGTAGGCCTTTGGATCTTGAGGTCAACTCAAAATTTGCATAAGAATGGCATATAGAAGGCATACCTAGCATGCTTGTGACAGCAATACTGCGATGCTGAAGAAACATCATGGTAAGACGGACTTGAAGTAACTCACATCACTGTACACTCATATGCTATTTATTAGTGTCTTTAATATGGTCTTTAATACTTAATAGTGTCTTTAATACTATAAAAGTCTCTAAAACTTTTGTATTCTGAGTAACAATGATAGAAAAGCTAAGGTAAAATAGTGCAATGCAACTAGCTTTCACATCTGTTTGCATTCTTTTTATTAACGACTTCCAAAAATTTATAACATTAAAAAAAGGAAGCATAATATGTAACTGTTTATTATTTTATTATTATTATTATTATTATTATTATTATTATTATTATTATTAAATCAACTAAGTCCCAGAGATTTTATCTGTAAATTTGAGAAATCTTTGAGAGAATAGAAGAAAGAAGGTGAGGTTATAATATTTTCTTTAGCAAATTTAATAGTCTAGAGACCTTAAAAGGGAAATGGAATAGTGACAGAGTCTATTGGCATAAAGAATGAACAGCACTGAAGATCTTTTAGAGGTACTCCAGCTTTTGGTCAGTTTAACTCACCATTAGCTAACATTACTTCCAGTGAGTTCTTGTAGAGAGATTTTAACAAGAATCACAGGAATGGGAAGCAGAGGCATAGGTGATTAAGACATGCCAGTGCAACTACCTATCATAACAAATGTAGTTTCTCTAATAAAATGATGTTCTAGGCAAAAGGCAAAACTTATATGTATTAGCTACATGCAATAACTGCAGTTGTATTAAGAAAAAAATATTTCATTTTAAATAACACTGAATTCACCTTGAACATTTTAAAAATCCATCATCTAAATATAGTGGTAATAATATCTGTTCATGATATCAGTGCTATCAGCCATATCAAGTATTGCCCTTAGGCAACAGAAATAACCATATGTTTTAAGCAGTATATACTTTACTGCATTTAGCCACAATCTTGCTCTTAATTAGAAAAGCTGCATGTGCAAAAACAAGTATCTGCAAACTAATCAAGACAGTATAGGAAACTGACGGCAGGTAAGAGGATGGAACAATCTTTACCCCAGAAAGTCTGATGATGTATTTCCATACTGTGGCCACAGAGATGAGGTCAGATCTATGGTGAATTTGAAGTAACACAATTAAATCAATTGAATTACTCTGGATCTTCTCCAACTCAAGGGCACACAGTTTTTGGCAGTGGGTACTCATCAGCTCGTAGAAATCTGACCCATGCTCTGTGTATTGGCACAAATCTCTTAGCTCATTTCTGACAGATTTCTGGTGCAGGGTTTTGCCTCAGTGACTTAGGAAAACTTTGGAGGTGTTGCTACAGGTACTGTTTTGGAGGTACACGAGAACAGAAAAATGTATACATACATATTTATAAATTTTCTCTGTATATATATATATTGAATCATAGAATAATAGACTTGTGAGTTGGTTGGGACTCACAAGAATCACTGAGTCTAACTCTTGGGTCCCCAAAGGACCCCCCCCCAAAAAAAAAAAAAAAAAAAAATCAGACCCTGTATCAGAGAGCATTGTCCAAACACTTCTTGAACTTTGGCAGGCTTGCTGCAGCGACAACTTCCCTGGGGAATCTGTTCCAGTACCTGACCACCTTCTTGGAGAAAAGCCTTTTCCTGATATCCAGCCTGAAAATATATAAACACACACATATATATATAAACATATAGTTAAGCCTGCAACAAACTCAAATATATAGGTATGACCAACAATTTAAACTGAGATAATATGAAACAGAAAATCAACAGAGGATTCAGTGCATGAAATCACTCTAGTTGCATGTCAGGAATGTACACCATATTTATAGGACTAAAAATATTTGTTTTGAAAATCTGACATGTTTTCCCACCTGTCTACTCCTGCACATTGTCCAAGCACTTTCTAAGTGCACTTCAATTATTAGCTGCAAATAGATTTCAACAGTGTAGTTTGTTATATATGCATTAGTCAGTAGAGAGATGACAATGATTGATTTGTTTAATGACAACAATTTGTCTATGATTTTTTTCTCAATTATTTCTACTGCCTAATTTCCTTTAATCTTTGTTTCAAGTGCCTTAGGAGTTAACAGAAGAGTTTTATTTTCTGGAAAGTGGCAAAACATTTCTTCAAAAATTTGTCACACTCTATGGATGTACAGAAAATGGAAATAAGAAATCAGGGCTGATTGATGTCCTGTGCTTTTGTAATCAATGAAACAGCCACAAATAAAATGTGTATCTGCATTTTCTCGGGATTCAGTCCTCAGAAAGCAGTGAAAGGTACTGAACACAAAATCTGCCTAGAGATCAATGTAAAAGAGTTCATATCCTTGTGTGGATAAACCTACGGAATTCTCTAGAACAGCTAGTACTTGATGAAATGTTGCTGGAGTAGTATCCTTCCCTCCACTTTAGGAAACCTGCAGGCTCTCTGCTTTAAGTGAGAGGGACTTGCTGAGACCAGATGATCAGTTACTGCCTGTCTACTAAAGACAGCTAACACCCGCAGGTCCAAGGACATGAATGTAATTTTGTGCTAACTGAGGCTAGGGGATAGTGCTGCAAAGGAGTTAGACAGATGAAGTGAGGAAAAGAGGTTACCTGGCAGAGGAACAATTCAAGCCCTTGATCTTCAAACATTCACCAGAATTCAATGCACTCAACCTTAAATGGACAGCAAAGGCAGTAGGAGTCAAACTGTGGAAAAATTAGAAGGAACAAGGGTATTTGCTCTGGTATAAAAGAAACTGACCAAATTTTGCTCAAAAGTCAGACTGAACCTTGTTTACCTCATCAGTCTGAACCTTTTATTATATCAGATATTACTGTGGGTGTCTGAGCAAGCCAACTTAGTCTTCTATAAATTAGTTCGTGTGAGACATTTCTTCTCACGTGTGTGTGTCAGGTCTCATTATCCTCAACAGCAAGTTGAAAGTAACTAAAAGTGGAAATGATTAAGAATCAGTGAGGTATGTTAATGTATGGTTTGTGTTTTATTGAAACCTCTCAGGGCAGCCAATTTACAGGAGGGAGGAGGAGTGCTTTTGACCTTCATTGCTTTATCATACACTTTTTGGGTGGATGAAATTCAAGTCTGCTGTTATATTCAAAAGCAGAGTGTGTTTTTAATAGAGGATTATATATTGAAAATATACTGCCTAGCAGTAGAAATGGTCTGGAAATACCAACAATAGCTCAGCATTGATTTGTCCTGTTTTCTTTTAAGAAAGATCAAAAAAGATAAAAGATATAGGACTTTCCTTACAGGATTAGTTTAAAGTATCTAGCCAAATATGTAATAGTGTAGCTAGAAATTACCAAACTGGCTTTAAGGGATGTATGAGGTGAAAACAGTGAAAACACCTTTCATTCAGATTCTAACTAGGTGAAATCTGGCCTCTGAAATCAACTGTAAAATTCCCATCAGCTTCAAAGGAACTGGAATGTCAGCTTTACCATTAGTTTCAGAAGAGGATCAGTTCTGAAGAATAAAAAGTCTTTGATGTTTCTTCATAGGAAAATCTTTTGTTGGGACTCTAAAATCTTTGAAAAAATGTGGTAAAAGCTTCCTTATGTGGAAATAGTATTGTAACTCTTTATTCATCTTTCACTTGATGAATATTTGTAGCAAGGAATTGTGCATTCAGGATAGGATATAATGCCTGAGTTAGGAAATTGTTAGCTCTGGGGCCATTCTTCTGCTTGGCCTTTGATAGACACTTGTTATGCATCATATATCTGACAGTATCTTTCTATTTATCTGTCCTTTCACAAACCCATTACTTCAGATTATAGGTATTACAAACTGATTTATGCTATCTAGAATTTCTGCTCTACTTTACCTTTGATTTTACTTGTTAATGTCTGGTTCTACAGTCTCATCATCATTTTAGTTGTCTTCATGGTGCTGGTTGTACTAATAACCAATTAGCTAAACAGCTAGATCTATTTTACAGTATAAGCGGTCCAGAATCTATAATGTTCTTTCTCAGATGAGAGTCTCCAACCGATTAATATTGTTCCAGCAGACTGTGTGTCTGTCTTTCTTGCCCCTTCTCATGCCTCCGTCTCCTTCTTCCTGCCTCAGTATATGTAGGCAAAATTAACTTCCCAGGCAGAGGCTGCAAGCTCAAACTCATCTCTGCTTTTATAGATTTCCTGCAAAAAAGAGAAAGAAAATAATGGGTTTCAGTTCATTATATAAGCCTCAAAAAGAGTACCCAGTCCTTTTCCTGTCTACACACAGGAAGAAAATACCATGGTATCAGTCAAGTTGCTGTAGTGTCCTGTGTCTCCCTACCCTGCAGAAGCAGTTCCTTGTTACCAACCGGCAGACTCAGCTGCATAAACTTTTTCTTTGTGACTAAAATGAGTTGTGCTCTGACAATTCACTGAAGCTGTATCTCTAAAAGTATGAATATTAGCATTTTCTATTGTGGTGTCTAGGCCTAATGACAATTTTATCTTTCTTAAAGTTTGTGTTACTGATATTCACATTCTTAACGTTTATGCTCAGAATGACAGATATAGACATTTGAAATGGATCGTTTCATACCACTATTACATTATTATCTGCTATTTTATTAGCAGTGCTATTTTATATTTTAAAAAATACTTAAGTCAGTAGCAGTCTCTATTGCATACCTTACAATGACTCTTAAATCACTTCTCTAGGCCTCTGTTCTGTTTTTCCTGTTTCACCAACTCTTCAGGGTAAAAATAGCTTTTATATTTATATTCTTAAATGCTGGAACTTACATTCACAGAAATCATGTGTGTTTCTCTCCATGTAAAACTTAACTTGGAGGGGGTATACAGTCATTTTAATTCAATGTCATTTTTTGGTTTAGTTTACCTTATAAGGTTTGTTGTGAGGTGTATCAACTTTCAGTACTATGTTAGATAGTTTCCATATAGCTTAAGAGAATCTTCCCTTGTTGCCTGATACTTTAACAGGTGGATTTTTTTTCTTACTTTTACATATGACACATTTGTATGTGATCTTTTTGCTTTCTGCAAAATAACCCATTCTTATATCTGACAACTTGCTAGTATGTGAATGTGTACGATAGAAGGCTTTGATAACCTCTTTTACACCTGTCTTGGAAAATTATTATTTTAAATCCTAATGCAGCCAGTTTCTATGATCTTCTCAAATTTGTAGTCATGTGTCAGTCTTGCATCTTTTTTAAATACACAGGATTTATTCTACTCTTATGTCTGGTTTGTGCAGACTCATTGCTTTCAGCTTCAGAAATGTTTCACTGTGAAAAAATGTCGTGATTTAACCCGGCCAGCAGCTAAACACCACGCAGCCGTTCGCTCACCCTGCCCCCTCCCTCTCTGGGACGGGGCAGAGAAATGGAAAGTGAAGCCCGTGAGTTGAGATAAAGACAGTTTAATAAGACAGGAAAATAATAATAACAAAAATAATAATAACAATAATAATAATAATAATACAATGGTGATAATAGGAAAGTAATAATAATATGTACAAACAAGTGATGCACGATGCAATTGCTCACCACTTGCTGACCGATGCCCAGCCTAACCCCGAGCAGTCTGGCCCCCTCCCCCCGGCTAGCCACCCCTATATATTGTTTAGCATGACGTCAGATGGTATGGATATTTGGTAGCCAAACTACCCTTTGGCTAGTTTGGGTCACCTGTCCTGGGTCTGTCCCCTCCCAGCTTTTACTGCACCCCCAGCCTGCCCGTTGGCAGGACAGAGCAAAAGGCTGAGATGTCCTTGGCTTAGTATAAGCACTGCTCTGCAACAATTAAAGCATCAGGGGTGTTATCAGCACTCTTCTCATCTTAAGCCAAAACACAGCATTCCACCAGCTACTAGGAAGAAAATTAATTCTGTTCTAACTGAAACCAGGACAAAAAAAAACAACCAAACAAACAATATAACAACAAAAAAATATTTCAAGCTCAGAAGTTAACATAATTCTTCCATACAGTGCAGTTTCTCAAGTCAATATATGTATCTCTCTGTTTTTATCTGCTTCCTGACTTGCCTTTTTACCCTAACACTCTTCAGCTGGTCTTGAAGAAAAAAAACAGTGTGAACAAATAAAGCCTGACTTCCTAAATAAATTGCCAGGAGAGTTCATCTGGCCTAAAAAAGAAACACAAAAGGATTTTTCAAAATTGGTTTTGCAAAACCAATTTTCCCCTGTTCTCTTTTGTCACATTAGGTGATTTATTCACAGATGTCATGCTTTTTTTTTTTTTTTTTTTTTTTTTTCCTGAAGGTATGTTATCTGATCTGCCTGTTCTGCAGTCTCTGCTACTAGTTTCTATTCCTCTCTCTGTATTCCTTCAGCATACGTGTATTTGAAAATCTGAGCAAGTCAAATAAACAAAATTTGATGAGAAAATCATTAAATAACAACAGTTGGGGAAAAAAAAAAAAAAAAAAAGGAAATAACTGGATCCATGAAAGACATATATTCATGTCAGATGAGCCTGTTCATCTGAACAGAGGTCTCAATGTGCAGGCCACTGCTTCTGGTGTGCAGTTCTGGGCACCACAGTATAAAAAGGACATTAAACTGTAGGAGAGTGTCCAGAGGAGGGCGATGAAGATGGTGAAGGGCCTAGAGAGGAAGACGTATGAGGAGTGGCTGAGGCCATTTGGCCTGATCAGCCTGGAGAAGAGGAGGCTGAGGGGAGACCTCATTGCAGTCTGCAACTTCCTTGTGAGGGGAAGTGGAGAGGCAGGCGCGGACTTATTCTCCTTAATCACCAGTGATAGGACTAACGGGAATGATGTCAAGTCAAGGCAGGGGAGGTTTAGACTGGACATCAGGAAGAGGTTCTTCACTGAAAGGATGGTCACACACTGGAACAGGCTCCCCAGGGACACAGTCACTGCACCAAGCCTGTTGGAGTTTAAGAAGTGTTTGGACTGTGCACTTAGTCACATGGTCTAAAATTTTGGGTAGACCTGTGTGGCACCAGGAGTTGGACTTGATGATCCTTAAGGGTCCCTTCCAATTTGGGATATTCTATGAATCTGTGATTCTTTATTTTTCAACAAATGAAAAAAAAAAAATCATAATCTCAGCACTGACTGCTGTTAATATATATATATATTATATAAAATAAATAATTGAACACAACTTATTATAATTGAAATTGTACATTCTCATTACACTGGCACCTTTTTCTTGGATAGAATCAAAGAATCACAGAACATCCTGAGCTGGAAGGGAACCACAAGGACCATTGACCAACTCCTGGCAACACACAGGTTTACCTAAAAGTTCAGACCATATGACTAAGAGCACTGGCTGCCAGGGTACACTGCTGGCTCATACTCAGCTTGCTATCAACCAAAACCCCCAGATCCTTCTCTGTGGGACTGCTCTCCAGTGTCTCGTTGCTCAGTCTGTACATATAGCCAGGATTGCCCCATCCCAGGTGCAGGACCCAGCACTTGCTTTTGTTAAACTTCGTACGGTTGGTGATCGCCTAGCTCTCCGATCTGTCCAGATCTCTCTGCAAAGCCTTTCCACCCTCAGTGGAGTCAACAACTCCTCCCAGTTTAGTATCATCAGCAAGTTTACTCAAAACATCTTCAAGTCCTACATCCAAATCATTTATATAAACATTGAAAAGAACTGGCCCTAAAATGGGGACCCTGCTGTTGACTGGCCACCAGCCTGATGTGGCCCCATTTATCACAACCCTTTGAGCCCTACCTGCTAGCCAATTGCTCACCCATCATATGATGTTTTTATCTAGCTGTATGCTGGACATTTTGTCCAGTAGGATCCTATGTGAAACTGTGTCAAAAGCTTTACTGAAATCCAAAAAGATTACATCAGCTGGTCTTCCTTGGTTGACTAGATGGGTGATCTTATCATAAGAGGAAATCAATTTTGTTAAACAGGACCTACCTCTCATGAACCCATGTTGTCTGGGACCACTGACTACATTGTCCCCCAGATGTGTTTCAGTGACTCCCAGGAATAACAGGATAACAGTTTCCTTAAGATAATTTTGACCTCTAATTTTGATTTTAACAAAATAATTGATATATTGAGACAAAGTGCTGTTCTGAAGTAAAAAATAATGAGGAACATGCAAGATTCATGTTCTTTGTCCTTATTTGGAGATGCTCATGGAAATTCCAAGGCCTTTTAGAAATATGTTATGTGTAAGGTATCCAATAAACATTGCTTTCACACCTAACATGTGCTTATCGTGCCCTTCATGAGACTGAGTGTGAGGCCTAAGACTAGCTATGGAGCCTCCAGAAACTGGGACTTTGAAGACCTTAAAAAATTTATGCGAAATACATGCTTTTGACAGTTTCTTTAAGGGTGTGTTGGATCAAAGGAGTATCTGATGAGATCTGGATGCAAGAAAAAATTATGTCAGCCATGTGTGGGCTACTAGCTGCTAAGTTCAGGTCTTCTGTTGTCATTCTCTAACTTTCTGATGGTCACATGGATGACATTACACTTTGTCCTTGTGCACCTACAGGATCTGTACACATTCACACGTATAAACTCTGAGGTTTTGTGGAAGTTATATTATAGGAAGCCCACATTAATTTCTGAAGACAAAGAGAAGCCAGTTTGTTGTTAATGATCATTCTAAGGTTTGATAAAATCAGTCCTTTTACACTACACTTCAAAGCATAACTTTGATCAGCATAGTCCATCTAGGAAGATTATAGTCTCACTGGTCATTGTTGCTTTTGAAGTCTTGGTACAAATACCAGCCCTGGAAATTACCCATGTCTGTTTCTGCAAAGAGAGGCTCCCTGTATGTGTCAGAAATACATGGCCTCCTATGGCTCCATTCCCAAGAAAGAAAGCACGTCAAAACACACATGATACTAACCAATGTAATTATTCCCTGGTGGCTCCTAAAGCAGGATTTTGTTGTCATGCAGAAGATAGATGTAAAGGTAGACTGAAAAGCTTCCAGCTCTCAAGCATGTGTATATGGATCTATAATACATAGGCCAGCATCCCACATCTACAACAGCCCTGCACATACATCGTCTGCTAGTAAATAACTGTATTGTAGAAAACGTCTCACAAAAGTTATATGGGACAGACAACAGACACCTGAATGAGACCTCTGTCACACACTGGACTTTTTTTCTTTTTTTTTTCTTTTTTTTTTTTTTTTTTTAGGCTTCTATAATTTGTATCCTCTCAGCCAGATTTCTCCCACCAGTACCATCTTTTTTTTTTTTTTCTCAGTTCCCCAGCCATATTCAGGCTGACACTTGTTTTTTTTCAGTTTACCCATGTTTCCCGATACTGTCCCTAAAAGACTATTTGTTTTTCAAGTGAAGTTAAGGAATATACTTTAATATCCAAATTCTGTGATATTTGCTACAGCTCCAAGAAACTTGATCAACTTCCATGCTTTTGAGGGGACAGAGGAAACATTCAAGCTATGTGGGGAAACAGTGGCACAAGATACATTATGAATTCTAAAAGAGAAATATTTAGTAATGTAAATAAATATTTTCTTCAGCTTCCTCAATTCAACACTTTTATACTTATATATTATTTTTATAATAATATTATTCCCTAAAATTTTTCCAATTTATCCTTTTGCATGGTCAAGTCCTCCAAATATATATTTTAGATATCTTCCACATTCTTTCTCAAGTCATACAGAGAAAATAATAATAATAAAATTCCTTACCACTATACTGAAAATAAAAGAAGGTTTAAGAAAATTATCAGTTGGTGTCCCAAATTAAATATCACAGAACTGTAGGGGTTGGAAGGGACCTCCAGAGATATTGGGTGTAACCTCCCCTGCCAAAGCAGGTTCCTCAGGGCAGGTTGCACAGGTAGTTGTCCAGATGGGTCTTGAATATCTCCAGAGAAGGAGACTCCACAGCCTCCCTGGGCAGCCTGTTCCAGTGCTCTGTCACCCTTACTGTGAAGAAGTTCTATTGCATGCTGGTGCAGAACTTCCTGTGCTCCATTTTATGGCCATTCCCCCTTGTCCTGTCCTCACAGACCATTGAAAAGAGAAAGAGGTTGGCCATATCCCTTTGTTTCCCACACTTATAGCATTTGTAAACATTGATAAGATCCCCTTCCATTCTTCTTCTCTCAAGGCTGAACAGACCCAGGTCTCTCAGCCTTTCCTCATAAGGAAGAAGCTCCAGGCCCTGTATCATCTTTGTGGCCCTCTGCTGGACTCTTTCCAAGAGATCCCTGTCTTTTTTGTACAGTGGAGCCCAGAACTGGACACAGTACTCTAGGTGAGGCCTGACCAGGGCAGAGGAGAGGGGGAGGATCACCTCCCTTGATCTGCTGGCCACGCTCCTTTTTATGCATGCCAGAATCCCATTGGCCCTCTTGGCCACCAGGGCACACTGCTGGCTCATGGCCAACCTGTTGTCCACCAGGATCCTCAGGTCCTTCTCCGCAGAGCTCCTCTCCAGCAGGTCATCCCCCAGCCTGTACTGATACTTGCAGTTGTTCCTTCCCAGGTGCAAGACTCTACACTTGCTTTTGCTAAACCTCATCTAGTTTCTTCCTGCCTGTCTCTCCAGCCTGTCCAGGTCTCT